CTATCTATCTATCTATCTATCTATCTATCTATCTATCTATCTATCTATCTATCTATCTATCTATCTATCTATCTATCTATGTATCTATCTATCTATCTATCTATCTATCTATCTATCTATCTATCTATCTATCTATGTATCTATCTATCTATCTATATATATATATATAGGCTTATATTTTTGTCGCTTACTCTTCGCCGAGTTCCGTCTCCTCGTACGGCAGCTGGTGACAGTTCTCCATGTTGACACCGTTGACAATTGACATCGTAGCGTCGAGTGTCGCCTGACCCGTCTCCCGCTTACGCCGCTGTCCCACAGGACTGTCTCCCTGATCTACGCGCCGATTGACGGCAAGCGACGAGTTAAACACCGTGTTAATTAAATAATTAGTGGGTTGCTGTGTTGGGTGGGGAGGGGCTAAGGGGGGGATCGACGGAGGGGAGTGCGTTGTAATGAACAATAGCGTATGGGGAGAGGGCGGTGGGGGTAAGGTTAGAACGGCCGCTACGGGAGTGGGGACTAGGTATTGTGATTAGGACGAGAAGCATGAGACGGTATACAGTCAAATGTAGTGGGCATCCGGATATAGCGCGTAGCTGCATGGGTGGGTAGTGGCGGGACTGCCTTGTTAGTGGAGCACAACCCAGATTTATCGCATACCAAGGATTAGCTTGATATATTTATTACGCAGTGAGCCGCGTATGAGATTTGACAACTTTTCACTTGAAACTGTCGTAATATAACACGTTGTTTTGTGTCCGTGGAGGTCGTTTCAATTTTGCTCTCGCTGGTGGCTGTTCGGCTGACCAGCATTGGTTCTAGTGGGAAATTATACGACGGCGAAAGTAACGAATGATAATAAAAACTGGGCGTTACATATATATATATATATATATATATATATATATATATATATATATGTATATATATACACACATATATATATATATACATATATATATATAGCAACTTGGCTGCGATAACGAAGGAAACACGGCGCATAATTTTCGTGTCACAATTCAACAACATGT